AGGTTCGACAAAACATGTTATGCAGAGTTAAAATGACTTTGAATGGGCTGTGCAGAATGAAACAGACTGTAGAAAATGTATAACAATGTGAAAAAATCTATATTTATTCAACAAAACAATAAAAGACAACGAGTCTGACGAAGGACGATGCCTTAATGGAAATTGAGAGCTCTCAGAAATATCTGTCTGAGTTCAGTGACAATCTGTTTCAGACTAAGAAAACATAGCATCATATGCACACGTGACTGTTGGTGATTCCCATCCAAAAATAAGGAAGGTTGTATCCTCAAGATATCAACTGACCCTTCAGCGGATAAAATCGTTGTATATTTGTATACGGTGTGCTAAACTTTACAGAATTTTTTTCCATGAGAATGCACATGTGATACCACAGGTAAATGGCCCATTTAATAGGTAACTAGGGCGAAACTAAAGTAGCTGCTTCCTTGATTAACGTTCTATGTTAAAACTGCATACACTCAGATTCATGAAAATTTAGAAAAAAATCATTTTAAATAAGGGGTAGAAAACATGTAGTACGTTCAAGGCTGGCCTTGCCCACTCCCCTAGGCTAATATCCTCTATTAGTCTAATTCTAGATTTCCTTAATATTTATCCCAATTATGTGTTTCATTGATGCCCTCCACCTCCTTAATTAAGTAAAGGTGGAGCCGGTAATGAGTACGACGGTATACTACACCAATCAGAATTACTCTCTGTATTACAGTCACATATATTGCCAAATTGGAAGAAAAAATACTACGATATCTCATCAGAAAATTAGTTGTTTTTTAAAAAATTAAACAAAAATAAGCAATCATTTCACTCAAATTTTGAATATACATTTTGGGTAAAAGCAAAAAAATTGTTTTTTCCCAAATTCGTTATAAATTTCTTTCGCCCTATAAAAGTATTATTATTATTTTACCTTCATTTCTTGATTTTACTTTGATGTTCGTAAGCTTAAATGGTAATTTTTTGTCATATTACTCCTAGTGGTCTAATTCTAGTAACTTGTTTTAATTTAGTTATTTACTAAATTTTATTTCGTTTACTTCCCAAATCTAGCTGCAGAGATGTGGTACGTTTTATGATTGAGCATAAATATCTATTTTTGGTTTTGTATTGTT